CCCCGTCATCCTTTGTGTCCGCTCAGTACTCTACCCCCTCGCCGCGGGCAACACCGTAGTCCTAAAATCCTCCGAACTCTCCCCTCGCACCCACTTCCTCATCGCGTCCATCTTCCACCGCGCCGGCTTCCCCACAGGAACCGTAAACCTCATCGGGCACTCCCGCGAGGACGCCCCCGAAATCGCAACCGCCCTCATCTCCTCGCCCGCAGTGAGGAAGGTAAACTTTACCGGCTCCACAGCGGTGGGAAGAAAGATTGCGGAGTGTGCAGGGAGGAATTTAAAACCTGTTATGTTGGAACTTGGTGGGAAGGCGCCGGTTATTGTCTGTGAAGATGCAGATATTGAGAAAGCGGCCAAGGGAGCTGCGTTTGGTGCTTTCCATCATGTACACGCACCCCCCCCCCCCACAGTAAAGACGGTGCTGACGCACAGAAGGCGGGACAAATCTGTATGTCCTCCGAGAAGATCCTCGTGCACAAAAGTATCTCCGCACCGTTCACAACCGCACTACAATCAGCCGCAAAAGCAATGTACGGCTCCTCGCAAATCCTAATCCAAGCAGTCGGCACAAAGCGCGTTTCAGAACTCCTTTCAAACGCTGCAAAATCCGGCGCTACCCTTCACCCGCAACCAGAAAAATACCAAAACCCAAACGAACACCACAACGTGATCGTAACAGACGTTACCACCTCTATGGACCTCTGGCACACGGAAAGTTTTGGCCCGGTCGTAATGGTGGTGGAGTATGAAGATGAGCAAGAGGCAATAAAGATGGCGAATGATACGGAGTATGGACTTAGTGCTGGTGTTTGGACAACGGATTTGGCGAGGGGAATTAGGATTGCGAAGGAGATTGAGAGTGGGTAAGTTTTCGAAATAAATGATGGGGGGATGAGGATGATAGTTAACGTGGTGTGACAGGGCGGTGCATATTAATGGTGCAACGGTACATGATGAGGTTGCGGTGCCGCATGGGGGGGTGAAGAATAGTGGTTTTGGAAGGTTTAATGCTACTTGGGGGTTGGAGGAGTTTTTGACGACGAAGACGGTTACGTTTAGGCTTTGAGAGGAGGGAGTTTGTAGTTTATGATACCAATGCGGAATGTCTTGATGAATGGAATGCGAATAGCCCTGGTGTTCTGTCGCCGGACCTGGATCGCTCGACAGTTGCAACCAAGTTATGGAGGTTTTGGGACTTATACTACCGGCATTTCAGAACTGAGGGTATCTCTTGTGCGCGCATGTACAGTTAAACTCTATCGTGATCTTTAGTTCCACCCTGCTCTCGCTGGCCGGATTTTCTCCTCGGTCGTAGGCAAGTTTGGTTTACGAGAGCTATTCCACTCAACGTCAACTGGAAGTGCATGTAAAAACGAGTAACCGCAGGCTTGGATCCTGGGAGTCTGTAGGGTTTCGAACCTGTGTCGTGGTGTTTCTTGCACCGTCGAACCGTGCAGTGCAGGTTGCGAACCTGCCTCAGGATGTTTCTTGCAACATGTCTGCCTACTATCAAGGATAGGAGATCTCTTATTGTTATGATGGATCTAATTCCCGTTGAAGTATTCCTAGACCATTAAATCTCACAGAAAAGATAAAAAAGTGATGACGAAGTTTTGGAGCTTGTGAACTTGGTACGAACGTTAACTAGAATTTCATGATCAGCTGTGGTCATATATAAAATTTATGAGTAAAACTGATATTCCGTAGATTGAAAAATATAGCCGCCCGGGCAAAAAGAGATTTCAAGTCTGCGACGTTTAGGTAGTGTTTACAGCACTGTAGGTTTGAGCCCAGCTGGCCAGGTTTCTATCCTGTGATTCCGTGTTTATTGCTAGCACTGTTGGTTTGAAGCCCAGGTTTCCAGCCTGTAATTCGGTGTTCAGAACACTACACGCAGGTTTCGAACCCGCACCCGGTGTTTACAGCACCGTGACCACCAGCTAGCTTAGCTAAATGCTCAGCTATTGTACATACGTTGATTTCATTCATGATAATGTTGATTTCGATATCTCCAGTATGTACTTTCCGGGAAGATGCAAGGCTCGGGGTTCCGCGTGCCTGGATGGTGTGGCGCACCTGTTAACGTTGAGCCATACGTATACCATCCAGCTTCGGGAACGAGAAAAAGGTAAGAGGTGTATTCATTAGGTGTGCAGCTGGTAAGGAGAGCAAAAGAGTGATCTCTGCAAATTTGGAGCCTGCAATTGCGATCTTATTGTAAGGTTTTGAGCCTGTGATTCTAGTACTAGTGTTTACAGCACTGTAGGTTTCAAGCCCGTGGCCAAGTTTTGACCCTGTTATTCCGTGTTTTTAGCATCTCAGGTTTCGAACCCGCGTGTAGCCTGGTGTTCCCAGCACCAGGCTCGCTAGCTAAGTTAAGTGCTCAGCTGTTATATATGCCTTGGTTTCGGCCATGTTGGTGTGGATTTCCAGTGTGGAATTTTTGGGCAGCTACAAGGCCCGGCGACGGGTTTTCTCGTGTCCAAAGCAAGGTAGATCCGGATGGTGCATCCAGCTTAGAGCAAAGCATACGCGTCTGGACACGAGAAAAAGGCCCAGGGTGTACATGTTATTCGTTAAGTGTACGGCCGGTAAGAAGGGCAAAAGAGTAACCTCTACAAGTTTGGGGCTTGTGATTATAGTGTTTACAGCACTGTAGGTTTCGAACCTGTGCCGCGGCGTTTTCTGCACCATGACTTCTATCGATATATATCTAAGCCAAGAGATCTCTTATTGTTATGACCGATGCTCATTCCTGTAGTACCGGAGTGCAACGCCCTGACTATTAAAGAACACTGAAAAGACCAAAAAGTAATTGCAAGAGGTTTTCAGCCTGGGAGCTTGATGTTTATACCACCATTAAACACTGCAGGTTTCGAACCTACATCATGCTGTTTCTTGCAGCAAAGCCGCGTCGTGACGATTAAGCTAGAGATCGCTTTTTTGCTACCCGGACACAGGGGTGAAGGCAAAATCATATCGCTTTTGTGTTCCTGCCAGCGAATGATGGTTATGGGGAGTATATTTACTTTAGAGTCTTCTGCTCCTTCGCACGCATGCACGATCTGGTGTACCAATTATTGGGTGCCATCACAACTTCTCACCCGTGATCGATCTTTGTCACGCAGGTTCGAATCTAGGAAGTAAGTAAGGTTGGAATTTTTTTTTGACTTTACTTGGTATATCTGCAGCGGAAAACCCCCGCCTGCGTCGGAATTAGTGATACAGCGATCCTTTGTATCGGGGGAAAAACATGGTTGGCTCATGCACGGCTGACAGCCGCTTCATGGTTGCTATATCCGCGTTACACAGGTACAAATCGGCATGCATTCAGGCGTCCATCTGCAGCTCGATATCCGAAATCCGCGATACGGGGGAACCGTCGTCATAGCGGGGCCGTGTGGGGTGGGTATTAAAGCGTCCTTCGGACACGACGTGGACCACAGTTATCTCAATTCCAATCCATAAAACCACCAACTATACTCTACATCATGTCATCCCTCTCCGGCAAAATCGCACTCATAACCGGCAGCAGCAAAGGCATTGGCGCCTCCATCGCACGCACCCTCGCCGCCCGCGGCGCAACAGTAGTAATAAACTACGCCTCCTCCTCCGCCGCGGCCGAATCCGTCCTCTCCTCCCTCCCCCGTCCCGAAACCCACCTTTCCATCCGCGCCGACGTCTCACAAGTCTCAGAATGCCAGCGACTCGTATCAGAAACCGTCGCAAAGTACTCCCGCATCGACATCCTTGTTCTTAACGCAGGCTGGATGCCTTCCGCAGACCTCGCAGGAACAACAGAAGAAATCTTCGATCGCTGCTACAACACTAACGTCAAAGGCCCGTTCTTCATCACCCAGGCTGCAGCCCCGTATATCCCCGAAGACGGTTCAGGCCGCGTGATATTCTTTTCGACGTCGTTAACTGGCGCGAGTACGCTCACGCCCGGGTACACGTTGTATGTGAGCACGAAGGGGGCGGTGGAGCAGATGGTGAGGGGGATTAATAAAGATCTGGGGAGGAGGAATATTGCGGTTAATGCTATTTCGCCAGGTCCGACGGCGACAGAATTGTTTTTTAATGGGAAGAGTGAGGAGACGTTGAAGGTGATTCGGGGGACGAATCCCAGGGGGAGGATTGGGGAGCCGGAGGATATTGCGGAGGTGGTGGCGTTTTTGAGTTCTAAGGAGAGTGGGTGGGTTATGGGGCAGAATTTGAGGGTTAATGGGGGGTTTGTGTAAGGGGGATGGTGGTGGATGGGGAGAGGCGTTTTTTGTTTACCAGGCAATGTGTAATGCGATGAATTCAATGATATGGTCAGGCCACGGGTTTAAAGCTGAAGCCCATGGTGCTCACTCTTTTGTCTTTTGAGACCTACGTAGCTTATGTCCTGAACAGCATTATGGACGGTATCGATAGCAGACCAAGACTACATCGTGGAAATCACTGCATACACAACCAATCAGTTAGCTTAGCTGGCTAAGCATGGTGCAAGAAACATCAGGTGCTATAAACACCGACGTCGGTGCAGGTTCGAAACTTGTAGTGCTATAAACGCTCAAGTCGCAGGCTCGAAACCCGCGGGGATCAATCACTGTTTTGCTGTCCATAACCCATCAATCCCGAACAACGTTAACGCTAAAAGCTTTTGTCTAAATCTATTTAAACAACTCTACATCACCATGAAAATCAATGCATACACAACAACAAAGTATTTAACTTAGCTGGTAGTCATAGTGCTGTAAACGCCGAGTGCGGGTTCGAAACCCGCTGTGCTATAAACACGGAATCACAGGCTCAAAACCTGCAGTGCTATAAACGAATGTACAGGGTATAAACCTGCAGTGCTGTAAACACTGTGATCGCAGGGTCAAAACTTGCTGAGATCACTCTTTTGTCCTTCTTGTTACCAGCCGCTTACTCAACGAATAACACCCTGAAGCTATACAATGGAAATTCGCATCATGATGGCTAAAGTCAACGCATATATAACAGCTGAGCATTTAGCTTAGCCAGTGGAGTATGGTGCTATAAACGCCAGGTGCAGGTTCGAAACCTGCAGTGCTATAAACACAGGCTATAAACTTGCATTGCTACAAACACTCAGATCGTAGGCTTCAAACCTGCAGAGTTTATTCTTTTAATTTTGCCTTCTCTCTACTGGTTGAACAACACTACGGTGCTTGCCCGGGAACCATAGACTGGAAATTCACATGACCATGGCTGAAATCAAGGCATATACAACAGCTGAGCACTTGGCTTAGCCGACACGCATCGTGCTGGGAACACCAGGCTAGCTAGGCGCAGGTTCGAAACCTGCGGTGCTATAAACACGGAATTACAGGCTATAAACCTGCAGTGCAGTAAACCCGGAAACACGGGCTAGAAACCTGCAGTGTTGTAAACACTTAGTAAGGTCCAAACCTGCGGAGATCTCTCTTTTAATTTTGACTGGCGCCCACCCATAAGCCCAAAGAATGACGCCCGGGCACTGCCCCAAAACTGCATACTGGAAATTTACCTGACAATGGCAGAATTGAGCGCATATATAAAAGCTGAGCAATTAGCTTATCGGGGCTTGGAGCGAGAAACACCAAGCCATGTGCGGGTTCGAAACCTGCAGTGCTACAAACACGAAATCACAGGCTATAACTTGCAATGCAGTAAACACTCGCTGGCATGAAATCTGCAATATTAAATTGGTGCTGTAAACACTAAAATCTCAGGCTTCAAACCTGCGGAGATCATAACTCTTTGCTCCACTGCCCAGCCGTAAATCAGTCCAGTGAGATTCCACGGAACGGAGAATTTTACGGGCTATGCTAGTAACTTTACATTACCATGCCTGAAATCACGTCCCTACATACCTAAGTGGGGGCTTAGCTAGCTGGTGCTAGAAACACTAGGTGTTCCAAACACCGGGTAGAGTTGCGTACAAGGGTATGACGGATTGTCATTGATTTTGTAGTTACAACGGGAGTTCTTTGTGGATGTTGATCACCGAATCCCATATCTGATAATGATTTTCGTCATACCCCGAAATCCGTCATACCCTTGTACGCGACTTTATGGGTTCGAAACCTGCAAACACTAATGTCCACAGGCTCGAAACCTGAAAATACTCTTTTGCTCATCTCTTGTCTGGCCGTAACTCAGCGAGACCCCAACGAAACAAAAAATGCCATGGGCGCTGTCCAAAAGTTAGATAACGTGTAGAAGCTTTACATAACCATGGACAAATCAACGAACATACAATAACTGATCCCTAACTTAACTAGAGAACATGGTGCTAGAATGGTACCACCGGATTCAGGTTCGAAATCTGCAGTGCTGAAAATACTGGGATTCGCAGACTAGAAATCTGCAGAAATCGCTTTTTTGCTATTCTTTACCCGTCTAGCCGCAACCCCCTCAATCTAATGTTATACCAAGGCTTAGTCTGAAGTTGCGTGCAGCCATAGAAATTTTGCGTTATGTACCATGGCCGGAATCAACGCATATATAACTCATCATTTGGGTTAAGGGTACCGGTGCTAGAAACACCAGCTGGCCAGCCTAGGTACGGGTTTCGAAACCTACAGTGCTGAAAGCACTGAGAATTGTATGCTTGAAAAGTACTGTGCTGTAAATACTACTCTAATGTCGCAGGCTCCGAACTTACGGAGATAACTGTTTTGTACATACTGTTGCAACCTGTGCAAGTTATATATATATCGCCGGAGGAACTGTATGTTTCCACTAGTCCAAATTGTACAATGGGAGTCAGGATATATTCATTCCGACGCGGGGTTGTTATCCATGCACGCACAGGGGCATACTCAGTGGCCTCGCCTTCATTGTGGTACATGAAGTCACGTGCTGATTTGGAGGCCGGATGGGGCTATGGGTCGGACATCGTTAACAGTCAAGAAAAGATTGTATATTTAATCCACATCGCTCTCTTCAATCTCATCCTCAGATTCCCCATCACTCTCACTGTCTGTACGAAATAGCGCCTCCATATATAAGTCCCCTCACAGCATCCTCGCCGTTCTCTTCCTCATTTTCGTCTTCCAGCTCCTCCACCTTATACTTCTCCCACAATTTCAGATCGTTACCAGTACGCGCAGCCATCTGCTTCTCACTAAATCCATACCCACTCCGCGGCACAGAATGAGGAACCGAGACAATCTCGTCATTCGAAAACCGTTGTCGTACGTCTCTGCTCGTAGTCGTTGGGCTCGTAATCAGGAGTTTAAAGATCGAATTCATGCTGTTTCCGCGTGCCATATTGACAAGTCGGTCAATAACGGCGTGCATGGCATGCACTCGCTGGCTGGTCTCGAAGAAGTTTATGCCATCGATAATGCAGAATAAGACAACCGTACTCTCCAGCCGCTCCACTAGATCACAAAGCAGGTCGCACATACTTTCGAGCTCCTCGTTTTCAATCTTTCGGACATCGCCAGGTTTAAGGAAAGAAGTGTCGAAGGAGTCCTGAGATAGGAGTTGAACGAGTAAGCTCTTAACCATTCCATAAGCATCTGAGAGCGGGTCCTTTGGTTCGGTATGACGGCCGCAGAAAAAGTAAATGACCCGGGTCGGATTTAGGTGCTCTAGGCTCTCCACAAGCATCGAACATAGATATGAAACTGGTGATATCTTTGCCGACTCGTAGTTACCGTGCACAAGCCGTACCTCGGAGTATCGTGATGTTAACCATTCTTTCAATTTTTCGGACTTCATAAGCCAGGCTGCTCGGTCTTGAACGGCCATCTTCATTGCCCTGCCAAAGTGGGCACAATGGTGTCGGTCTTTCGTTGCAGTATCCGAGCTCTTGTGCAAGATTTCAACCAATTCGGATTGCGCAATATAAGGCTTCGGAGCAGGTGACGGCGTGCGAGACCGTAGTTGAACATCATGAAGTTGAGCCTCCAGAAGAGCTTTTTGCTTTGTTAGCTTCTGAATTTGCGCCTTTCTTGCGTTCGCTTTCTGCTTTAAGCGTTTTCGCTCCGCACGGAACCCTAGTGATTGTTAGCCATCGCGGCGGAAGATTCGGATCTGCTTGATGATGTGAACCAGACATTCGGAGTTTTCGACATTGTCTCGCAAGACTGAGAGAAGGGGATTCAGGGAGTCTAGGGAGTTCTGCATCTTGTCCACTTTATGACTGACTTCTGCCGTCTGGTGGATTTCTACACACGCGAACTGATCAGAATTACTTTGTCTATACGAGTTGGAGGAATTCGTGCACTTACGGAAGTGAGATTCTATTTTGCTTGAGTGTTGGTGGCATATTTCCGCCTGATGTATTAGGTAGTTCGCTGCTTTATCGATATCCCCAAGCTTTTCTTCGAGGGATTTTTCATATTCTGCCCCCAGAAAAACCGATTTCACATGTCTGGCTGTAATAATACTGTCAATTTCCAAGAACCTACTGAGACAAAGATTTTGGAAGTACTTTACCTGCCTTTTCCGTGTAGTATCTCACAGCCTCTTCAAGTGCTACTAATATTTTCAGATACAACTGTACAGTCGCATGGTGAATTTTCTTCTCCGAAGGGTGGATCTGAAGGTAATCCTCTATATCTTGTAGCTTGTTAGGTAGATCATCTACTAATTGTGCAAGGTCGCCTCGAACTTTGCTCGTACGAATTGCGGCCTGTCTATCATGTCAATAAATCTACCGGTTAATGGACTGGGGATGGACACACGTCAATGAGAATATTCCCACCTGCAGTTAATATGGATGTGTAGGTTCCGTTCGGAATGAAGGTCATATAAGGCTTTGCAACGTTACCACGATCTCCAGCCTTTCTCAACCACTTTCTGAGTTCACCACGGATACCCTTCACGTCCATATAGCGGTCTCTTGCATCATTGACTTCTTTCTCCACCTCGCGCCACGAGTGCTTATCTCGGATTCTCAAAGGAGCGTCGATAGAGTGCTTTGGTTCTTCGGTTGTGGTTCGAAAAAGCTCAAGTGCTTTTGAAAATAGCGATTCAACATCGATATGCTCTTGTGCTGGAACTTTCATAGGGTGTATGGAGTTGTCTTGAGAATCGACCGTGTATTTTTTGAGACGTGGATCATAATGGGTTAATGGATTGCCTAAACTTGAATGATATTCGCCCCGATGGTTGTCAAGAAAGTCAACCGGGAGCTCGTGAAGGCGGATCTCGGGCGGTGATACTGAACTGCTGCTTTCCATGGTCCAACTGCTGTGAGAGTGCAAGAAAGGTGAATGCAGTATTTCGAGTACCTCTCCGATTGAGGGTGATAGTGGTATTAGCAGTAAGAGACGCAAATAAGAGCCTCAGCTCGTGTCTCGTGTTTCAAGAAATGCAGTCGATGTAGATCTGTGCTTTTCGTAGCGAGAGAGAGATAAAGTGCCCCGCACCAAAGCTGTATGCAAGATCATTGGAAAACCGCAACAAACAGAGAGGCAGGACGTTATCTCCGACCCCACGTTTGTCCTTTGGTTGGTACTGGGTGATGGGAGAATTAGTTCGGTGACCCCGCAATGCCGATGGTACGTATCCTGAGCCGCGGGCCCGGGGGTGCCGCATGCTGCACTCGGTGAACCAATTGTAGAAATGGCGCATCCTGTTTTGTGCTTGATGATGCCTAAGGGGCGGTGATATTACTTATTTGAGCCGCAGTTGCGCAAGGCAGATATAGATCCGGACCTAGAGGTCGCATGGCATTCTGTAGTCATACTGTGCTTGTAGACCTAGACCTGCATTACCGAACGTTCAAGTGCATGGCTATCTCTACTGAGTATGCATACATTTAAGACAAGACCAATTGAAGAAATGACGCAGGAAACCATTGGTAATCTGATGGTGAGCAAGGCAAATCGAATCGCGGATTTTAGGAATTGCAATCGAGAACGACATCGCAACCTCACCCAAGAGACATCGCAACCTCACCCAAGAACGTAAGCATAATTCTGCGTGGGGGGAAGGCTTCACTGTGTGGTTATCTTCCGCAAGAGTGTTTGCAACAACCCTCAGTTTCGCGTACGTATACCCCACTCCGAGACTAAGCTACGGAGACAGAAGTCAGACGGCCGGCCGCGGGCGTAA